AGCTAGCAAATTAGGAATGTCATTTTGCTCTCATTGAAAACTCATTTTAGAATAGTTCACCAAAAAAAGGAAAGCCATTTTGGAGTAATAATGATTTAGTTCGCAACGGAACATGTCGATTTCTATTCAAGTTTTTTTTCTCTATTATTGGGATTGCTTCTCATATCTGATTGGTTTAATGAACTTCTATGTCTGGTACTCATAATAATCCTTCTTTTTTAATAATTGAAGTGGATTAAAGGGTTTATTCTTTGCAATTCATGATATCCTAGCTCCAAGCATCACATTTTTACATGCCTTGTTCTTATTGTCTGCTTCTCCAGTTCTGACTTTAGTTTCTCCTCACCAGAAAAACATTCATTACTTACATACTGTGTTCTTTTGCCTGTTTCAGCTCCTTCAAAGGAAAAGAAATAGGGAATGAAAAGCTGATTGGCATTCTTGATCTTCAACACATCACATACAAAAATGTTGACGCTCGTGGATTAATAACAGGATTTCAATTCTTACAGGTAATGCTCTTTTCTTGAAAGCAATGCAGTAGAAAATACTCTGCATAGAATATATAATGGGAACTGGGAAGTGAATGGGAGAGAGATTCAGCTCAGAAACCTGTCTAAATCCACAGAAAGTAAGGATAACATTGGTTTTTCTTTTCTTTTCTTTTTTTTAATCTGTGTTTTGTATACAATGCAGTCATCACTAGTATGGTCTCCTATGGTAAACTTCTCTTTATGTAGGCCTACTACCCTGAACGTTTAGCGAAGTGTTATCTTTTACAAATGCCACGTTTTTTCGTTGCTGTTTGGAGGATGGTTTCTCACTTCCTTGAGAAGGCAACATTAGAGAAGGTAGGTACATTACATCCTTCTGCAGCATCATATGTTCTTTGAGCTAAGGTGGATAATAAGTCATGTGCCATGTCTGTCTATCTACTTTAGTAAAATATCCAAATTTCTGCAGCAACTAGATTTTTCTTATAATGTGCCATTGCCATCCAGATGTCTCCACAACAACTTTGGGACATCCGGGCACGCATACTATCCTCTATTTGATAGCATCTATTGTCCCTCTTCACCTGAAGACAATAGTATTGCATGTTGTTGGGAGCTGGATTACGTCATTGACTTTGGATTCGGCTTGTTTTGTGATGTTTAAACAGATTGTGATTGTAAGCAACGAAGATGAACACACAGATTTTATACAAGAAATTGGTGAACAAGCCTTGCCGGAAGAATATGGGGGTCAGGCAAAGCTGACTGCCTTGCAGGATGTTATACTGCCCCAATTGGAAGGTTGATGGTGGAAATGGGTCAAAGCCAGCTCCAGTTGCAAGACAAGGTTAGTAGTGAAGCAGCTGCAACAATCTAATTCATCCGAACGTGTGAAAGAATAGCAGTCACTATGTAATAATTTGAAATTGAAATTGACTTCTCAATCACTTCATGAAATTATTATTATTATTATTAACATCTTATTATATTATAAAAAGAATTTTCTAACATGTGTCTAGGTTAATCTATATATATATATATATATAAAATGCTACCCTATGCATTAAATAGGGGAAGCATTTTATATATACCTTCTTACCTGCTTAAAGGGATGTTACTCTTCTTGAATAGTTATTTTTTCATAGTTCATGATTGTAAGGTAAGCACTAAATTATGATTGTTTTAATAAGTAATAAATTTATTAATAAAAAATAATTGAAAATAATTTAAATAAATAATATATTAATTGTTAATTATTAATATCTATATATATATATATGTTTATATGCTCAGCTCAATCCAAATTCTTCCTTCTTCGGCACCCTCAGCACCTCGCTCTGAGCACACGTCCAGGTGGCGTCGAATGTTAGAGAATAAACTGAGTCTCGGCTTGATGCTCACGTTTAGAGAAATGGACGCATCGTTGCCCAACTCCACCGCATGAGCCCCGTGGGGGATTGCGAAGTAAAACCCACCGGGTTGTGGCCCGCTTGAGACGTACTCCACTAAACCTTGGATTTCCCACTTCGGGGTTGAGTACTTTCCTTGGATAATTGTTTTCGTGAGGTCTTAATTTTTGGGTGTTCGCTCAAAATCACCACTTTTTAGAAGACCTGGCAAAGAGAAGGCAAGGAACTTGAAAAATCACTCAATTGAGGGTATAAAACACTTGAAACCAAACTTCGATTTCTCATTCATTGGCGCAATAATTTTATGTTTAGCAAAAAAAAAAATTTATTTTTCAAATCCGGTGGATTTGCTTGGGTGTGGCAGGTTGTACGAGAAGCTGAGGTATGTGAATCGGCTAGATTGATTCACTCGTTTTTGTCTACTCCAT